GGCCTGTGCTTTTATTTTATATTGTAAAACAAATGGGATAAAAAGAACGCTCCTGAAAAGAAATGCTAATTCAGTCTCTCCAGGTAGTTCCCCATCGTTATGAAGCTCTTCAACTTGTTAACTCCCTGAAGCTCTTTACATCCAAAGGTGAAACCAGCTGGCAGGTTTCACTCCCCTGAGCTTCTCTCATCAGAATCCCTAGGTCTAACCACTCTGAGTTCACTATTCCAACAATTTAAAACCGTTTTTCAAAGGAGACAAAATATATTTAACTACAGGTCCTGCTGTGCCACAATAAAGTATATATTTATATGCAAATTCCCTGAGGGCAACACTGATGATCTTATGGAGGGGAAACTCTCTATTTTTGTAGTAGCTTTCGATGTAAGCAGCAGTTTACTGCAGGACAAAACAACATGTTCATTCTTCACTTCTCTCGCAACATCTCTTTTTCTACCGACATTCCAACAGAGACTGTCCACTACGGCCTGTGACCGGATTCCAAAATGAGGATCGAAGAGAAAATATCCCCACTTTTAAAATAAACTGACTCAACAACTAAGTCCTAAATAACTATCACTAATCCTTAGAATTTATGACCCTATTTACATTCCTTCAGACAAAAATATGCTTTTTATTTAATTTTATTAATTAATATATTTGATTACCCCTGCCATAGACGGTCTGATGATTGCTTTCACCCCTACACACCATAATCTAATGTTTAATTTTCATTTATGTCTGCAGACAGTCTACTCCTTAAAGGCCTTTAAAGTAAATTACTATTGTTCTCACATTGGACCACAGTGAACAAACTACATATGTTTTATGTTATAATAACCTAAAAGACACCATATCTTCCCTTAAACAATAAGATAAGAATTGTGAAATGAGGGGATTTTTCTTTCACAGCATATAACTTCACCACCAGATGCTGCTAAATTTCACACAGTGCATTTGTGGAGCACATCAATCATCCAGTCTGTACCCTGGTCTGCGAGCCAGGCTGCTTTCTCCAGGTTCTTAAAACCAGTTAGTGTGACGTTTGTCTGCTCAGCTTCTGGTACTTTAGCAGTGTTTCTCCAACTTTGTCTGCTGACTGTCAGGTTTATTCTAACATAAATGACGACAAAGTAACAACACAAAAGACGTCTTGATTTTTTACTTGCAAGGGGAGAGTGCAGCTTACTCTTCTGGCAGCTTCCTCATCAACTCCCAGTAGCCACACCCTTCCTCTGCACTTTTATTGAGTTTATAAAAGTATCAGATTACATCTCATGTGATCGTGTGTGAGTATATGGATGGGTATGGAGTAAGAAGGTGGGTGTGAATGGGGCTGTGACTGTGTCTGGTAATTTCTCCATCAGTCTTGAGCACACTAGATTATAATGATGAGAAGCAAACAGTTTCTTAAAGTGACAGTACAGCATGAAGTAATGATAATAAATTAAATTCTTCCATCACTGACCCACCCCCTGCCTTTTTTTTAGATTCCATGTCAACACATTCACATATATTACTTTAAAATTCCTCAAAATTGATATTATCCTGCTGCCCCCCTCCCACAAACACAATAACTCAATCCCAACGGGCCCCGCCCTTTACTTTGGAAAGCACTGTACTATAATATAACACCCGTGTGACTAATTATGACCTTATCATATCCCATCTTGGTGACATACTGTATGTTAACTAAAATATCATGCCTTCTAAACAAATAAGTTCTTAGTCTCTTACTATCGACCCACCCACCCTCTGAAAGACCATACATAAAGGGAAAAATTACATTCATAATCAACATATTTCTTTCTGCTGTATTTCAAATTGCAACATTTCGCTTTGTGTAGCCTTTTTTTATTTAAATTTCTACCACATAAATCCATGGCTGTGTCCTCATTTTGTATTCGTTTTGTATTTACCACCTGAAGTGAAGCTACATCTGACCTGCTCTCATTTCCTGCCCAGTTGTCCTCATTTCTCAGGTTTGAAACCAGACCAGGAGGACACAGGGATGCAGAGAATAGAGGGGGCAGAGTGAAGAAATAAATAATTTGACCCATCTATTATTTAGTGTAAACTGTCGGTGCCTGGAATCTCCTCTGCACCCTAACCAAATCTATACTGGGACACAGCTTTGTTAGTGTACAAACTCACACACACACACAGTACTCACTGCATTGTTTTACATCATAGTTTTTTAAGCTATTATTTTCTTTGTAGTATTAGGTGTGTGAAACATTAATTATATTCCAGGTGCTTTTAACCATGATGCTTTATAATGTCTTCGTTGCTTGTAGCAATTACATAACAATGTCATAACATGTTCCTATTGCGTTACCGAATTTTCCCATTTTTTTTGTATTATTACATTTTTTCCACCGATAAAGTTAGGACTGTTACTACTGCTGCAAACTGAGCCTTATGTATACAAATGTAGTCATAGTCAAGCTCCAGAGAATCTTTTCCATTATTTTCATGTGATCTACAGTACTGGTCTTTTTCCCCAAAATGTGCTGAATCAAAATGAGAAGCCAAGCTGAATTGAAATAGCACAGAACTGAGTCTGAATCGTTTCCTTTCCTGCGTTTTTTCCTTTGTCTATCAAGACCATATCACATGCCCAGACATCTCAGACAGTCAGGTCACTGCTATCTGATGCCCTCCAACTTGTGATTTCTCTACATCCCCTACAAGCTCATTTGTGATGAGTGGCTGCAAAGAAGGAAGAGGAAGGAATTAAATGTTAAGGAAAACTTTGTTTTCTTTATTATTATTATTTTCAACGTACAGCTGTTTTGTTAAAGATCTGTAGGCATTGTCATAACATAAAAGTAAACAGACATTCATTTGAAACTGAACCCTATAAACTACAGGATAAGTTAACAACTTTGCTTTTTAAAGAGAGCATGCTCAAAAACCATTACAAGGGTAACACAACATGAACTGCTTTTTTGTGTTAAAAAATGTAGTTATGAAAAGTTCTAATTTACATATGTTTTACTTAACCTTTTACTTAACCCTATCCATTTCTAGCCTATAGTCAATGTTTAGAGGTGTTTATAATTACCAAGCTACACATATCTTCAGGTCATGTTTTATAATAATAATAATAATTTGAACCATATTGATCCCATATTTGGGAAATTCTTGTTTTAGCAGCAGATATGCCGTTAGCAGGCTGCCCCCAGCAGGCACTAAGCATGTAAGCATCCTCTGGGAATCGAAGAACTCTCTGCTCTCTGCTTCAGAGGCAGGTGTACTTACCTCTACACTATGGACCTGACAATTATTATACTTTATTATAATATTATCATACTTGTAATGATAATTTGAACATTTTATGCAGTTAAAAATCTTATTTTGGGTCCTTTAAAAATTTACTCAATCCACAACCAGCAGGACAATGCAAGTTGCACTGGATCCTATGTCTCCATACTTATTTGAGTGGTTCGTACTCACAGACCTCTTAGAACAGAGCTGAACAAGGAGTCAGGAAAGAACCAAACATCCAGGAAGTGGAAACAAACCTAATCTTCAATTACCCGGTTCAATGTGCCGAAGGCTGACAAGCTGAAATACTTTTACCAGAATCCCGCTCCACGAGATGGGGAAGAATTAATTGTTGTACGAGCCCTTGAATGCATACTTTGAGTTGGATTGAAATTTGGACTAGATGGATTTGCCTCTTACTGTACCACAAATACCTGCCGCACCTCAGCACTTCTTCTATCATTCTCCTTTTTGGCTGCATCTTACTGCAGTCGATGACTACGTGCACCACAGCATAAAAAAAAGTCAATGGCAGAGAATTAATGCTGAGGACTGCAGTGCAGCTGTTTGCAGGAAACGGTGAAGGGATTGTTTCAGTCTGTGAAATACAGCCAACATGCCACGTGTCCATTCATGAACCCTTGCTTCACCACCGACCTATATACAGTGGTATGAAAAAGTTTGGGCACCCCTGATCATTTTCTAGATTTTCCTTTATGGATCATTGGTTGT